GAATAAAGTTCATTGTGAAGTACATAGTTGCTAATATGTTATACTTAATCATAGTAATTATCATTGCGATAAGAAGTAATTCTTTTAAGACCGTTTATTGACCAAAGAAACGAAATACAGCTACGTAACTATGAAATGTCTAATCAACGTATTTTTCTATTTGTTTTAGGTGAAACCTTTCATCAAATGTATCGATCACTATGATATATAAGTTTTGCGCTAATTTATGATCCATAGAAAGAACATTTTCAAATTTGATAAGCTGCGTGTTACAAAAAATAAAATAGCATTGCATTATCACTTTGAAAATCCCGCTATTGAATTAAAAATATCAATTGAAGATAACCAAGTTAATCGAGTTTGACGTAAAACATATCCCGCGAGCTACAATGCCCCCAAGCGAACCACAAACAATCAGCATCCTCTCTCGCTCGACATGAAACTTCCTGTGGTTTGCGCAGCCCCATATGGTTTTGAGCAAGTCACCGGAGGCTCGTCAATTGCAATTAACGTTGGCGAACGTCTAATTGGCACGAAATGGTAACGTGGTCCCTGTTCATTTTCCAAGACTTACACGTTCACATCTATGTATACATACATAGATCCGTAAAGTATGCATGCTGCGGCAGGAAGAGACGTTGGCCAAAGGCGCAGCCTCTTAATAATGCATCTTTCTTGAATCGGCGCCAAACCCAATAATTTCCGGCACTGAATATTCGCGCGTAAAACTGTGGCCGAACGCGCGCAGCAGCCGCATATATACATTCCCCGCCTTTCGCCCGAGTTATCTATAAATTTACGGTTAGTTGTAGACTATAGTACAATCAGTCATCTGTGACGTGGGAATCGGAAAGTTGATGCTTTGCAAGCTATCTGATGTTCTTTCTGTTTTTTTTTTCACAAAAAGATAGATTAAAAACCACAAACCATTTAGAGGTGAATGCCAATTTTCAATTGTACGCCCTTATCCTTGTAGATTCCATTTGGCAAATGTATCAAAAAGACGTGTTCATGCTCAAAGCATTCATGAAAATAATCAATTTAATTATACTGATTATGTCGACATAATGAGATGTAGACGAACAAATCGAAACCACTAATAGATTGATAGAGTATCGTCTCATTCATTTGTCTATATTTATAAATATATAACGTCATCAAAATCACTTCAAAGCTGTTTATCATGAGTTCAAAAATTTTTCGCTACCGAAATTTGCATTGAATAAACTATGTAACGGAAATAATTAAATGAAAATCCGCAATCGTAGTTTATCGATTAAAACAGCACTGATAATTTTAATTATACTCTAGGTATGAATTTGCAGTAGTAGCACAAGGGCGTCTCCTTCAGTAAGAACATGAATTATTCGTCGTGAAGGAACTCGCGCGTAAGACACGTGGAGAACTTCCAAGCCAACTAACTCTCCTCGATCGCATAGCACCGCATGTCGTCGGCGCAACCCGGCAACTTGTCTACCGCGCGCGAGTTAAGAAAGACGTCGATAGAAAGTCAATTTGCTGCTGCGATTTGGGCTAAGTCACGCGCGTACGCTGCCTCGTCTGTTGGTTTCCGTCTTCGGGGTGACTTCCGTTCGTGGAAAAATAGACACATCGCGGTTTTAAGAGTTACCAGTCTTTCCCTTTTCTCTCTTTTCTACGTTCGTGGTCAAAAGAATTCTTCAAAATTTTCCTGCTGTTATTTATAGTTTGTAATTTCTAGAAATCGATTGAAGCTCATTTGTTGTTTTAATTCTGTGTTTGCTCAGATGCCATTTCTTAAATTCTCCTTTGTTTACATTCTTATAACTTATAATTTATGCTGGAAGACGAGAAAAGCGAGATCAATTTTCCATATGTGATAATTTTAACGAACGTTTTGTGAAACTTATGAAATCACAGATTAGATAATATTAATGAGGACGATTTGAGGTAGGTCTAATAAATAAGTATTTAGCTTATCTTACCATTTTTTCCTATAACCTTCAATTATAAGTAATGAAAAATTTATCTTTCAAACTATGAGGCGGAATAGAATTTTAAAGAAAAACATCTATTGAAAAAAATCATAAAAATTATTTTTTTACAGTGGTTGCGTTAAAAACAAAGATCAAACTTAAAAACCTTATAATTCTATATATTTTACAGAAATATTCTTCACTCGAGCCGAATGGTTAGTATTCGCAATATTAATCTCACACGTTTATTTCGTAAAAATACAAAAAACAAACGACTTCTTCCGAAGCTCAGTCAGCATGCAAATGTACGTTAATTCTAAGGATTAACCCTGGACTGGTGGATAGTTGTTGTTAGCTCCAGATGAATACGAGGTAACGTCAATATTGTAATTAGCGAGAGTTTGGTCAATCCATGGACGAACCATGCTTACGTGAGCATAGACTCCAGGCACGCCATCCGTACCACAACCAATACCCCAAGCTACAATACCAGCTTGAGTGTAACGCGATGGATCATATCGTAATGGACATACGAGAGGACTTCCACCGTCGCCCTGAAAAATTCAATATAATCACAATTCAATGTTACAAACTATATTGTTTGACTGATAAGAAAAATAAAGACCTACCTTGCATGTATCAATACCAGCGATGCCACCAGCGCATATAAATGACTGATCAAGTTTAAAGTACTTTCCAAGACGAGTGTTACGCAAAGAGTTCTGACAAGTGGCACGAGGAACAAGAGGTAACTGGACAGCCTTCAAAATTACTTGGTATTTCCCTTCATCACCTATACATTAAAAAATCAACACAGACATGAAATATTATTTCGATAAGTATTGAAAAAATACTGGAATTTCAATTTACCGAATTCACTCTTTCCCCAACCAGTAGCAATGCAATTGGAGTTGTCAAAGATCTCGTTAGCTTCGGGCAAACAAATAATTTCGACATTATCGGCAAGCTCGATTACATTATCGAGGATAAGCAGAGCAAAATCGTTGAAAAGAGTTCCAGGTCTGTAATTGGGATGAATTACAGCAACAGCTACATCTCGATCTTGATGAGGTAAACCTTCATTCGTGGTTTGGGTGTCCCATTCACCGGCACGAATTATCAAGGAAGTAGCAGATTTTCTATGCATGGCATGAAAAACATGAAATTCGTAAATTGCTAAATATTCATTGCGTCTTAAATATAAATTTTCTATTATTTAACTCACTCAGCAACGCAATGCGCAGCTGTGAGTACAACTCTTCTGTGAATGAGAGAACCGCCACATATATATGCTTTTTCACGGCTGCTACTTTCCAAAATAGCAACCATCCATGGGTACTCAGCAAATTGAGCTTCGTTGTTGTTATTACCAGTGATTCTAAAGCCAATACCTTCAGGATTGCGATAACCACATCCTCTGTTGACGTGGCCATTACCATTGCCAGTATTGTCATTATTATTTCCTCCGTTGCCGCCATTATTGCTTCCGTTGACTCCAGGTTGCACTGGATTAACGTCAGGTGGTAAACAGCATACTTCTAAGTAATGCCCACACGTGCGTCTACCACTGAACACAATAAAATATATATCAAGTAATTATTTCAAAATCAGAACAATGGAAAAGAACATCAATGGACTACTTACGCGGTTGGATTTTCTTCAGAGGTTGCCACTCTGATATCAATGACACCTTCGCCATTCTCATTTGCCGTGCCCTTGGCAGAACATTGATAATAAGGAACACACTCGCAAATCGAGTTTTCGTAATCAGTTTGAGCATCCCTTTCGCTTCTGATCATAAGAGAGGCCGTACACGTGCTGACGACCAGCATGAATCCAAAAATTGCCTTCATCATTTTTACTATTGCTGAAAGGAAAAAGATTGTTGAAATTCGTTCACGAATAATCATTTGTAGCTTTTTGACTTTGTCGCAGACTCATGAAATGAAAAAAAAAACCACTTAGTGTACTCATTCATTGGTCATCTCAGCATTCGATGACTCAGTCGGCATTACATAAGTAAAGGAGGCACACGCAGTTTCTTCCTTGACAGATTGAACCTGGCATTGATGGAATGTTAGCAAATAAAGCGCGCGCATGGCTCGGTAAGTAGTTGATTTAAGTTACGTCAGCAGATTATTTATCGAATGAAAATGGATATTCATGCGTTTATAATGGCTTCGAGATAGCCTCATTTACATTCGATAAGTTGGCAAATCAAAATTGGTATGAGTGCCACCTGTGTCTTGGCAGCTTTAACGTCGAGTATGTGTACAGATGTTTCCTCTGCCATTCAGCTTATAATGTAGCCTTGAACTTTTCGCTTCCAGAATAAATTTCGTCAACAGCACTTTAAATTGATTTTATGAAATTTGATTTATAGATAAATGATTGAATATAATCTGACACTGTTAAAGATTACTAAAAGAAACGTTATTTCTTTCTTCTTTCTTGGATTGGCCATAAACGTTGACGTTCATTGCGTCATTATCGGGTTTTGATTAAAGTTATTTCAAACAAAAAAAGCCGTGTTATTCGAAAGAATCTCTTTTCATAAATCTTATCTTTGGTTAATAAAATTTAATTTTTTTAAAACGTTAGTACACATTGTCGTCATGTTGGTATCACTGTTATTTACGAAAAGACTAAATGAATTATAATTTTGAGATTGCACGAAGTAGGACATTTTTAATTAAATATTTAAATAATTTAACAAATGGATATGTTAATTAATATTGATTTATTTCAAGGTCGTTTTTGTTTGAATACAAAATAGTAGGAAGATTGGATATTGTAATTTTGGAGAACCTACTTAATCTTTTCTGTATTTCAGCAACGTAGACCAAATTCAGAGTTTTTTCACAGCACGTATTACTCAAAGTGATGAATGAACTTTCACTGATTGAAATCAAATTTTTATAAAACTAGAGCACTATTTACGAATTTATAAATACACACAACTACAAAAAGTAAGTTCGTCGTACTCACCAGGCACAGATATAAATGCACCTCCTCGCATGCGCAGAGCTGGGTAATGATTAGCGCGATCGTATCTCGTTCAGTGGGTTATTTAAGGCATAAACGCTCACTTGTCATGGTCTCCCCACCTATCTGGCTACTCATTTTATACGAATGGGTATTGGATACAGAAATGACGAGCTGTGCACACTTGAGTGACGTCATAAACCGCACACGGCTAAAATCTCGCGCACATGCACACTCTTATTTGGTTTCAGCTTTAATTTATCAATTTTCGTAAACGTCCGTGAACACTCGTGATTTCCAACATTTTGTTGTTTGTTTTCTTCCCTGGGAAATACGCGCATTCCCATTTTAATCGCGAGATTATTATGAAACATTAATTGTTCAGTATGAACGAGTATAAATCAAGACTTATTGCATGACCTTTACGAGGTTTCTCTTGATTTTCGAATGATTTTTCAGCCGTGTATATATACAGAATATATTCGCAATAAGGGTTGTTTTTTCTAGAATGAAAATTTTTTTAATTATTTGTACTATAAGAATCGGGGCATATCTAAATGAATTACATGTCGCTTTTATGTACAACTTCTTGAAAAATATTAAATGGTCGAATGATGATAAAATATCTATTAGTCTTGTTGTGCTATCGAACTGTTTTTTTTATTGACAGTTACAATTAACTTAGGGAAATCCCAACAGTATTAGTCTTCATTAATACATTTCTTTAAGATTATGGTTCATTGAACTACATTTTTCGTATTCGTTATTTAAACGTTGAAATGTTTATTATGCATAATTAGGTACAAGGCTAATAAACTTGTAATGATATCATTGAAAATCATACATAAACTGAATTAGATTAATCGATATAATTCAAATCGAGTTCTTTTTTAAAGTAGTAGTAGTAAATGGCATTAAATAATAAAATATTACGAGTCCATCCGTCAGCACCTTTCCACATCCACAACTTTAATCTAAATTTTATAACCCACATAAACAAAAACTATTTGCTTGCACATTTTATTCCGAAAAAAAACGCAAATTTAGAGTGCGATGCACGGCACTACTACATGTGCATAGGTAGCTCTTTCGTGTATGCACACACACATGATTCTACTTTATCGTACTCGAAACAATACGTAACTGTTATCACGATCGTCTTTATGCGCGGGAGGGGTCGCATCTATACATACATGTGTTCCACGTGAAAAATGAGGCTTGTAATCGAGTTGTTCGGATACTCGCTGTTCGATCTCTCCGTTGGGACCATAGCCTTTTGTATGTATAGTGGAAATTACGTATTGTTATCTTACCACGGTGCGATGTTTTTAAATGTGCCGACGTTGGTTAGATATTGTATATTGAAAAAAGCCAAACGTATTGCGACTTGAAAAACGATTACGATTAGTTGTTTTCAAAATAACGATGGTCACATGTATCAAGTTTTATTGTACTACGATATTATGCATATGTTGATGTATATGCAATCGTTGGATATTTGAGTTGCTAATGGTACGTTTCATTGTACTATGTTAATATTCTATATCATATTATTTTTTGTTTCTCCCAAAATATTAAACTTTGAAAATAAAAAGAAAAAAAATGAATATAAGGAAAAAGCTTCAGGAGATCTATAGAGAAGATAATAAAATTAAATAAAATCCAATATACAAATATTTTTGGCTATACTTTTAGTGGTATTTAGAATATCTTCTATCCATTTTTATCTTGCATTGAATTATACTCATATTGAGCACATAAAGCATAATTCGTATTAGAAGAATGATTTTTCTGCGAATTATATCATCAAATAATCAATATGTACTCGTAAAACCAACTCATCAGTATTAAATGTTACTGTGTATATTAAATGAAACGATAAATGCCATAAAACTCTTTTTTCAGTAGTCGAATAAAACAAATGAATATTCGCGAGTATTCGTCTGTAAGTTGTAGAGTGGCAAGGGACTATGATTCGGCGAATTAGAACAAGGGAGAGGGAGAGAGAGAGAGAGAGAGAGAGAGAGAGAGAGAGAGAGAAAGGAACAGACTTGGGTTTCCGGGCCGATTGATTTCCGGTCTCAGAAAGCAATATACGTGAGCTACATGCGTATCGACTACGCGGCCCCCGTACCAAAATATTACGGCCAATTACGTCTACTTCTACTATCGAACCTGTACTGCACTACGCTTCGGTACTTCAATTAAATTATACGCTCCTGGCGATAGATTTTAGGTGAAGCTGGCTTTACGGCGATCGATTTTCGCTGAGGTTTAATGGTTATATGAAATTTCCAAATGATACGAGTGAAATGAGTAGACATTGGAGATGTCTTTTCTTTTTTTGAATACCTTTTTAGTGTAACATATTGAAATTCCTTTAATAGACTGCTTTAACTTTATATAAACTAAATATTGTAACTTACTGGCAGCAGTTATGAGTATACTAGCTGTAGTCGATTTTCTAAACAATATGTATCGTATTGATTCGAATTAACATGCGGGTATACATATCGCTTGATTTATGATATAGCTATATAAAATTCAAGTGAATTTAAAAACATTTAATCTATTAATTTTTAGTTGAATGGTTATGCTTGTCGGAGATCAAAAGTCGTCATCGAGTATTCCAAGAATAATTTTTATTCCTCGGTAAATGGTCATTTTTCACGGTCGTGTCACATCAAAAGTATTGAGGATAGTAAAGGAATATTTAACAAGGAAATTTCCTATTCAGAACTGTGATGCTTTAAAAAAAATTATTTCGAATGTTTCCATTTAAATTTACGATATTCCAATACTTTTTTGTATAAAGTTTATAATAGAAATGGGTATAAATATAAATCAACTACGAGTAAAACCCTCTGTTTACTTGTTTCCTTTGTAGCGTCTGATTTATTCACACGAAAGTCTATTAATAAACCTTATCATTTTATTCGAAGTCTAATATTTTTTATATTGTTTTTTACGTAGACGCATGGTGACGTGAATAATTGCTGTATGTAAAAAAGAAACAATTAAGCACTAAAAGGAAAATACAGATCGTCGAATGAAAATAGTGATGAAATATACATACACATTGCCCTAGAAAAATTCTCTTCATATCTAGCTATATTAGCAAATATATCCGATTCGATAGAACGATACATGCTTTAACTCCATACCTGTACCATTCTTTTCCCTGCGGTGATGTTAAATAAAAGAGGCCTCCTACCGTTCGGTAGACGCATTCTCGTATCGTCCCCCCCCCCCCCCGCCCCCTCTCGCTCTACAGTCTTTTTTCAACATCTTTCTGTTTTTTTCACCTATCAATCGTTACTTTATTCTTATAAACGTCATTATTTTTTAATCAGTCATTTCTTTCGATATAGTATTTATATTAATAAGAAATTTATCAATTTTATACATAGATTATGGAAAAATTTTAGTCGTTCTCTGCGATTTATGAGAAAAATATTGTAGATTTTACTTTGCCGCGTTGATCAAAGATAATAGGTAGCTACATGTTTTGTTTTGATGACAGCTTAATTTGTTATTATTTTATATGAAGTTTGTATTTTTCTTTTTTACAAATAGTAAAAGACAAAGAAAAACAATGAAATTCATAGGATGAGCGGAACGCCGCAGCTAATGCGTCGAAAGTAAATGTCACATTAAGCTAATATGCTTCCTAATGAAGCTTTTGAGAGCACACATGAGAGAGAGAGAAGCTATCCAAGTCATTCGCGTAATATGAGCAAACTTTGAAACATATGGACTTGCTCTTTCGACGACGACGACTTGCTCATTATATGTCCCATTTAGTTCTTTCACCCACGAAAATATGCTAATTCCTTATCGTAATTGAATTTGCGTCTTTATCACTATCTCGCTCGACTTCCGCAAGTAAGTTTTAATTCGCGCCCAGGAGCAACTGAGCGCTATTCTTATGCGGTTTCGCGAAATTTTTCTTATTTCTTTGTTGTTAAAATAGAAAATATCTCGGTTTTTCCTCATGAAGCTACTTTCAAAATGCTGATCAAAAATTAAATATGCATGAATAATAATGTGTCGTTGATAAGTTTGTATAGCGATTGGCGCGTAGACTCTGAATCAGCGAGGCAAAACATCTATTTTTGCGAGACAAAGTGAAGGATTTTATAAAGTCTTGAAAAATATGAATAATTCTAAATAACCTGATCTACACAAGCGTGAACGGCAGATTAGCAATGGTTAATCTAAAACATAATCCATATGAAATAAACATCCTCGTGGACTTTATAAAATCTTTGTATGTTTTGATAAACCATTTGGTTAATGCGTCTGAAAAGAAACATGAATAAGTCGAACAGTAGCAGATCTGTTGGCCAAAGCTATTTGTCATGTGACCACATCAAAGACGAAAAGAATGAAGGAATAAAAGACGATACACAGGATATCAGAAAAAGAAAGAGAGACAAGGCCGTATCACTCGATATCACTCGCCGATACTGGCCTCGTTACTCGTATTTCCCGAGGCATTTGTTATTTTCGTCGTCCCACCTTGCGCGCGTTCTAATAGAGCAAAGAAACTCTCTCTTTCTTCTTATATAGCTCGACGCCCCGAGCTGCCGCGAGCTACTGCCTGTATAGTCGGCTACACGATGCTTGTTACACGATGGCTACATAGTGCAAACTCCACGCTAGACTAAGCATGTATCTTTCTTTCTTCTCAAGCTCACGAACGTGTGTGCAACAGCGTACACATCGTTTCAAAAATATGGGCTTAGATGGAATAGTTAAAGATGAAAACAATGCAATTTAGTAGTTTAATTTATTAACATAAAACTACAGTTGATTTTTACTGAAAATTCCGAATTATCAAATAAACAAAGTATATGTTTGTTTTAATACAAGCAAAGTTGTTACTTTAGTTATGTATCAAATTTAAGAACTTTTGTATTTTATATAACTTTTTCATGTTCAATTATGATTATAAAAGTTAATTTTTATTTTCTAATAGATTTTGATATTTTCAGATAATTTTTACAGCTTATTGTTTGAAAGAAATCAGGCTCTTAAA